GACAAACAAATGAACAAAAACAGGTCAAATGGTAACTGTTGTCTTTTGTTAGTTTTGACTGACAGTTGTTACAAATGTATTAATTCTATTTAAATCAACAAATAGATTTTTATTTTACAGATATTGACCAACATTAAAGAACATATATTTCATTATTTTTTGAAGGACTACAAAAACGTGAATATTTTTTAAAAATATATTTTACTGATTTTTTCTGTTTTGTTAAATTGCAGATAACTAGTAAAATATTTACAATTTACAAAATATTGCAAAAAAAAATACATAATGTCCACATCTAAAAAAATTGTATTTTTACAAATACTTATTTGTTCTTTTTTTAAAAAAAATTGTTTGGTTTTATTGTATTTAAATCAACCAACATTATCATATTCCTTTTTTTTGGGAAGTTTTTAGATTTTCTGTTTTTTTTTTTTCTTTTTCAGGATTTTTTATTTTTATTTTTTAAACGTTTCTCACCAGAACTCCAAACACGTCTCTCTTCATGACGAGCGTGTAGTCAAAGACCTTTACAGCAACCAGCTTGGTGACGGACACCACCTTGTTGCCCGTCATTCGGTCCCACTTCACGTTCTCCACCTGGACTGAAAAGGCCTCCAGGTGGGTTCCTTCCAGCCCACAGCTTTCAGAGAGTGTGTAGGTACAGGTGCCCTGGAAATCAAACCTTCGCCCATCAAAGGAGCGATAATGTGGGTCGCCGGAGGCCTGGCAGACACCCTTACCAATGGGGTGACATTTTTGGACGCCATATTCTATTTTGCACTTCTCATTGGGTCCACATGTGAACTTTTTGCACTCAACCTGAGAAAAAAAAAAAAACAGTCAAGGCACAAGAGACGTGTTATCAGTAACAAATCAGTTTTAAAAAATGCTTAAATTGTTCATTTTAGGATCCATTACCTCTCCATCTTGTGTGCACTTGCACTCCTCCTCACACTTCCCATTGGGATAAAAGACTTGGCCGGCGAGGTAGTATCGGTCGTTGTGGAGGCAGCCGCACTGTGAGAGGGGAACACATTTATCTCCACTGAGGATGTGTCCTTCATCACAGGAGCAGCCCTCCTCACAGCGATTCTGGCAGCCTTTAGGAGGAGCCAGACTCCGGCAAGATGCTGGACAGGAAGTCCCACAGACTTCATAGTGGCTGTGGGCGGAACATTTCATGGCTGCACACACGGGACACAGAAGACAATGTGAATTTTTCATTCACTGGAGATATTTTAATTTAGAACACAAAATGCATTTATTATAAAACTGCATTTAAAAAAGGAAACAAACAGTTTATTGTGCATTTTCCTTTTTTAATTGGAGCAAACAATAAGACAACACTGCTATTTGTTTTCTCAAATGTTGCTCCACTATTTCAGACTTTGTTCGAAGTTGATCTATTTGTTGCTTGAAACCCAAAACTAAGTTTTGTAAAAATATTTTTGGCAGAATTTTCACAATTTTATATGTTTTCAGAGCTGGGAATTTTTGTATTTTGACCCTCAAAAAACACCGAAGCAGGGAAGCCATTGTAGTGGTTCAATATTTGCTGAAATACAACACTGACAGACGTGAAATCTGGTGAAGACACAGACAAAATTGTTTCCAGCAGATTGTCATCAGTAGAATGTGATGTGTGGCAAGTATAAAAAGCCATTTTTTTGCTATTTGGCACAACAAAATGGTGATGTGGCCTCATTAGGAGCAAAAATACTGGTGTGCATATGGGTCTATATATTGTTGCTCCCATGTGGTTTTCATGGTGACATTTAACAACATCTGAACTAAACTATGAACAAAATCTGAAATGTTGCAGCAACATATTTCCTGAATTCTGTTGGAACTGACCCAGTATTGATTTTTTCTTTTTTCTAATTGAATGCATTTCTCACCACAGAACTGATTGGTTCTCCAGTTGTACACCTTGGCTCCTGCATCCTGGCAGACAGCCGTGTACGATCCAAGAGCGTCACACAGCACGTCCTTCCTGCCCTTAAACAAGCACACATCGTAAACGCAGTCTTCAAAGAAGTCGTCTGGATTCACCTTGGCGTGGCAGTCACGGAAAGGTCCTTTGGGGTCTCTCATTAGACCGCAGAAATCTTCCTTTTCGTATTTAACCTTCTGGGTAATGTCGCAACTAGGACACGCCCCTTTGCAGCCGTCTACACAGCCAGGGATCTCGGCCACTCGCCAGCTGGCACCGAATTTAGCCGGTGAGACGGATTTGTCGCCATTCTTTGGAGTCAGGTCGTCCTGGGCTTTGCCGTTGTAGTTGCCACAGAGGCCGCAGACAGCTCCCATGTAGTTGCTTGGCAGTGTCACAAACACAGCGCTTACCCAGTTAAAGGCGACTCTGAGGCCAAAATCTGTGGTGACAACAGCGTAGCGGCCGCTCTTTTGCGCAGATACCTTTCCTTCAGCTAGTGTGAAGGGCAGGTTAACCAGCTCATTGTTTACCTGAAGGAGAACACGCAGTGGTATTTGTACGCAAAGGTGAAATACTCAGTATAGCAAAGAATTTGGCTAAATGTGATGTCCTTCTTACCATAATCAGGCCTTTGTGTGTCTTAGTAATGACAAGGCTGAGGGAGAACACCTTGATCTCTACTAACTTGGTGTAAGAGACCGCCTTGCTGCCACGGTGGTCATTCTGCACCAGCACTTCAAAGGGCACTAACTCTGGGTCCTTGGAGCAGAGTGCGACAAGCTGGTACACACAAGTGCCCTGAAAGTCAAACTTTTTCTTGTCAAAGGTCTTGTAATGGGGATCACCTGTTGCCTGGCAGGTGCTGTGGGACACTGCTTGGCACCCTCTGATGCCATCAACCACCTGGCACTTCGTCCCCATCCCGCAGCCTTTATCCTTGCACTCAACGCGTCTGCTTCCGGCGACACATTTACACCGTCGCCGACAGTTTTGGTCGGCCCAGAATTCCTCCCCGGCAGGAATGTACCGACCCTCGTAGGTACAACCGCACTGATCGGCAGGCACGCACTTATCTCCGCTCAAAACAAAGCCGGTGTCGCAAGTGCAGGTCTCCACACACTTGCGTTTGCATTTTGAGGGAGCGTTGGGCTCAGAACAAGTGGCGGGACAGGCATTGCCGCAGAGCTCATAGTGGCTGTTGGCGGGACATCTGTCAGCTTTATGGAGGAGAATAGAGTGTGACACGTTGGTAACTGAAGACATGACATAAAATGTATGTTATATTCATCATTAATTTTGATGAAACTACTTACGGCATCGTGCTATTTTCCTCCAGTCTTGAACCTGGATGCCAGCAGCCTGGCAGGCTAGAGAGTAAACCTCTAGTGCACTGCAAAGGAGACGTCGAAGACCGCCTCCCATGCATACATCATATTTACAGTTCTCCAGGTATGCTTGTGGGTCAACGACAGCATGACATTTGCTAAATGGCCCATTTTCTATACGTGTGATGAGCCCACAAAATATGTCTCCCTCCCACTTTTTCATCAGGCTGTTTTCACAGCGATCACACCCAGCCACACAGTCATCTCTGCAAGCATCGTCTTTCACCAACCCCGGCACCTTCCAGCTTCTTGCAAAGGCCACTGGCCCGCCTGCCTGAGTGCCAGAGGGTGTGGTGAAGTCATCGCTGGGGTTGCCATTGAAGTTCCCACACAGGCCACAAGTCTTGCCGACGTATTTTCCGCACAGAGTCACCGTGAGGTAGTGTTCCCAGTCATAACTGACTTCCAGACCAAAATCGGTCTCAATGATCACGGAGCGGCCGCTTTGAAACATGTGAATCTTGTCGTTTTTCAAGACTATCGGTAAACACGACACACTGTTGTCAACCTGCAGCAAATAAAAACACATCATAAAGACACTGAAGTCAAGACGGTGTTCAAAGATATGCAAAAGAGTATCAGATAGTAAATTAGAAACCTTACCCTCACGCGACCCGTTTCGGACCGAGCCACTGTGATGGTGAAGCCATACACCTTCACTGTGACCAGGCCGACATACGAAACTCTGAGGCTTCCTCTGTTCTCATTCTGGGCGAGGACCTCAAAGGCTGGGAGATCATCATCTTTTCCACAGTTTTTAGCAATGACATACGTGCAGGTGCCCATAAAGTCAAAGCGTCGCCCATCAAAAGAACGGTAGTGAGGGTCTCCCATGGCCCAGCAGGTACCGGGCTTGTGTTCTGGCTTGGGGACGCAGCTGGCATAGTCACCCTTCATCTCACACACCTCATCGGGGCTGCAGGTGATACTACTACAGGACAAAGAGCCTGAAAAAAAAAGGTAAATATAATTAATGTTGGCATCATTGTTGTAATGCATTGGGAAATATTCTCCAAAATGGCAGCATGTGTGTGTGTGTGTGTGTCTTACCTGGCTGTATACACTGTGCTGGGGCACCATAACCATTCATCTGACTGACTCCTATACTGTAGAGAGCAAAAGGGGAACCAGAGCTGGACACAGTGTGCCTGTTGTTGCCAGGTTTTAGTATGTAGGACATTTCTGCGTAAGAGAAATCTGTCCCTGCAACCTTTTTCCAATTCATGGTACGAGGTAAGTTTGCACCATCTAACCTCAGCGTTGCGGTCGCGCTGGTTTGTGCTACGATCAGGGCTTGGTTTTCAAAATCTTCCAGAGCTTCGAGTGAGTAGGAAGAGCACAAGTGGTTTGTGGACAGAATGGTCATCAAGAACGGGTCGTAGTATTTGATCCAGTTTGGTCTAACGCCGTTGAAGAGCATGAGCACCTGGATGCCGTGATCAGCCTGAATGAACAGCGTTTGAGAGCTGCGAGATTCCAGCTCCTTTGTCTGCCCCTGGTTCAAAGTGAAATCCTCTTTACGGTTGCTGTATTGAACAGTGACTTTGGTGGGCTGGGAGGCCTGGAGGTAGACACTATCGTACTTCTTCTGGAAGCTCAGGGGGGCCACGATGAAGCTGGATCCCCAGCGGCTGACTGGTATGAGCTGCTCGTACACGTGGTTGCATTTTGAGAATTTCCAGGTGCATGTGTGACCCGTGAACACAGCGACAGGGTGCTGGGAGGAAACTCTGGACCCAGTGAGTTCATACCTGCTCTGGAGCTGGACGCTCTCATACGGCTGCAGATTGATTTTCATTTTGCTGCCACCGTTGTAGACGCGGCGCTGGAAGCTGATCGGCCCTTTTGGGATAATCTCTACTGTGTTGCTCTCTTTTCCATTCGTCACAGAGAACTCTTTATAGGAACCGGATGGGCTTCCAGCAGGTGTAAAGATGAAGTACTCTGTGCCCCATTCAGTGATCGGATGCACCACAGCGGTGTCTGCCGTGTACAGCTTGTAGCTGAAGGAGGTTACAGTTATGTCTGCCGAGGCTTCGATGCGCACCGTATTGGGAGACTTCTTGCTGTCGTACATCTCAACACTATTGGGGAGAGTGATGGTGACCCCCTCGCCAGCGTTTAGAGCTTTTTCTTGCTTGAAATTTAAGGGAGGCACTTGCACTGTCACTTTAGCATTCGCCTGAACAGCGGTGATGTATAGCTGAAAGCGAGGAGTATCATAGCGTGGAGCATAATTCTGCATAAATGACAGCGCGAACTCCCTCCCTGCCCATCCTGCGCTAGACGGACCTGACAGATGGAGAGAGAGCAAGGAACAAGAAAAACACATGTCACAAGAAGGGCTTTTTTTTTTCCCCTCAAAGTTCCTCTAAAATGAAGGCGTCAGGCAAAACTGTGCTTCACAAATCGCGTGTATGATGAAAATATGTCAAAAAAGCATTAGGAAATTAGTAAGACTATTTGTGCCAAGGCAATCAAAGGATTCGCAGACTGGCAAATACAAAAACTTGGCTTGAGACTTCTTGGATACACAGTACAAAGAAACAATATGACACCAAAGAGAAAGAGACTGAAAATGCCTCCATTTCAAAGTTAAAAAGCAGGGATGAATGCTGGTGTATAATGAATGGATTGCTTTTTTTTTGCTTGATAACCATTGTGAGAGATTTAGACGGAGGAATAGTCACTTGACTGCTTCTCAGCGGCACTCAATAAGTCACTTGCGCAGACAATATAATTGCATAATGGAAATATTATCAATATCTGCGCTTTTGCTGTGAAAAGACCACTTTCTGGGCTCAGTCAGGGCCTGGGGGATTTAGATTACACTCCTGTTTCACCCATTCAGTTTTAATAGTTCCAACTCAATAGCAGCTAAAGGTAAATGCTATTCCCAACAAAAGCAAATTTCAATTTAGATGGCTATCCTTTATGTGCCTGCTCTCTCAAATTCCTCGCCTGTTTAACATTCTGCCTCGTTCGCACAAGCACCTGGTATGGCTGCACAACAATGCTCTGAAGCGATGGGGCTGGCAACCTGGATAAATGGCTTCAAATTGAACTATCACTTCGCTGCACATCCAGCAACGGAATTTGTGAAGTAATTAGATTTTAGTCGGATTTAAAAGTTGTTAATTGTAGGCTGCAATCTTAATAGATATTAGAAGGGGAAAAAAGGACTTTCCTGATTTTTTTTAAAGTCATTTTTAACACTACAACTGTTTGCATATATTAAACTTAAGAGATAAACCACCTGCCACGATTAAATTAAAAAAAAAAAATACAAATAAAAAATAAAAAGCAAAGTATAAGCATTAAAAAAAATTGACTTACAGGTGAGAAAAGCCCCCAAAACACAAAGCAGCAACAGGGTCCCCATAGCTGAAAGAGAGAATTTTATATTAATTCAATAATGTAAATGCATTAACTTGACCCACCCGAAAATGTACAAGTTCTTTAACAGAACAGTTCTTACCTGCAAAGAGACACACGTATGATTACATGGTCGTTTTGCAGCTCCATCCTTTTATACACTAACGAGCAAGAAAACACCAGCCCCCAAAAACACCTCATGACTCTGAAAAACAATACCCTTCCTCTAAAACAAATTAAGGCAGAACTTGGCACTAACTTTTAGGTCCTGCTGTATGTTGACATAAGTGTCAGGTCTAATACAAACTGCATGTATTCATGTTTTACTGGAAGCAGCAACACACCCCGTGACGGCTACATCCTGCATTTTATTATTTTAATAAAAAGATCTGCTGAGAATCAACACACGACCTCCTTAATAATTAGTATTAATGCAGAAGAGACTATCTATAGGCTATACGAAACAGTGTATTTGAACAAAAAGTACTCAATTCCTTAATCACCACATCATTAATGCATTATTAGAGAGGTTTATAGATAGGTTTATATGACATGACCCAGTTTTTTTTCCTTATCTTTTTTTAATCAGCAAAAAAATTCCCTCGCCACTTGATATTTAACATGAGACAGAAATAGGTCAGTTTGATTATTCGCCCACACTCAGCTTGTATTGTATATTCTGGTGTAACCAAACATAATTATTCATTTCAGAAGGCGAGACTGTGATAAGACCAAAACTCCCAAAGTTACCCAAAGAGTTTTTGAGTGAGTAGCCATCTAGCAGTCTCGTTTGATAAGACGGCAGGCGTTTGAACATATGGACAATATTTAGCTTTGATATCTCACTGTCAAACACAGTTGTTTTTTAAATTCATTTTTCTTTTTTTTTCTTTTTTTTAAAATGAAAAACAAACCATAAAAATGTCCTTTAAAGTAAATTCTGATTTTTAAATATTTTTTTTTCCACATAGACTGTCACATTTTTGTTTTTGTAGTTTGACAAATGGTTTTTAATCAATTTTTATTTTTTTAAATTCACATTTTATTTAATTACAGTTACTTCCTCTATTTTTTTTTCTTACTTTTAATGCCAGAATAATGAGAGAGACAAGTCTTTAGAGATTCTTTTATTACTTTCTTCAAAGTCAGAAGTTTCCATACATTTCCTTAGTATTTGGTGGCATTGCCTATAAGCTGTATGACTTCTCACGAGCTTCTCACACTGGCTTGCTGAGCCTTGCTTAAGCCACCTTGCTCCACACCCCGTTTCAGCTCTGCCCACAAATTTTCTTCCATTTTCTTTGGCCACTCCAAAACATTGGACTTTTGGACACAAGCTTTAACTTCCTGGCTGATGTCTTAAAATGTTGCTTGAATATTTCCAAATAATTTTCCTCATGATGCCATCTATCCATTTTGTGAAGTGCATCAGTCCGTCCTGTAGCAAACACCCCCACAACATGATGCTGCCACCCCCGTGCTTCACAGTTGGGATGGTGTTCTCAGGCTTCAAGCTTCCCCCTTTTTCCTCCAAATGTAACGATGGTCATTAAGGCCAAACAGTTCAATTTTAGTTTCATCAGACCACAGGACATCTCTCCAGAAATTAAGGTTTTTGGCCCTGTGTGCATCTGCAAACTGTATTCTGGTTTCTTTTGGAGTAATGTCTTCTTCCTCTCTGAGTGTCCTTTCAGCCCATGTCGGTACAGGACTGGTTTCACTGTGGATAGTGACTCTCTCTGACCAGCTTCAGCAGCATCTTCACAAGGTCTTTTGTTCTGGGGTTGATACTCTCTTTTTACACAAAAATGCTTTGTCTCTGGGACACAGGAAGGAGACAGGTTCTAAGTGTTATGATGGCTGGACATTCCCATGGTGTTTATACTTGCATATAATTATTTGAACATATGAGCGTGGAACCTTCAGCCACCTGGGCATTGTACCCAAGGATGAACCAGACTTGTGGAGGTCAATTTGGTAATCCTAACTGACCGAAAACAGGAAAAGTTTGATTTAATGTCAGACAGTGAGGAAAAAAAGGTTATGTGTCTTTTTATACAGTGTATGTAAACTTCTGGTTTTGACAGTTTCTTTACAGTGCAGGTTTCTTAATGCCGGTTTCCTTGTGTAGAATGTACATGATCGTAGATTTCTACTACAGAGAAATCAAACGGTGTTCACATACTTTTTGGAAAAGCTGAACATTATATACGAACATTTCAGTCAGAAGTGGTTGCGTGTTAATTCCTCCTTTCTACCTGATTCTTTTGCTATTTAGTGTTTTATATCACACGTGTCCCTTCTAATCAGAGACAAACGTTTTGCTAGCCTGTAAGCTCTTCTCAATACAGAAACCACAATTTGAAGCCAGTTCATCCTTATTTGTTGTGTCCTGGTTGACGCTTGCAAAAGGTGTGGATGATTACATGGAAGTGAGACATGACATATTAAACCAACATTTCTGTCGAATGGCAGTAGTTGTGCTGAACGGGCGGTTTCTGTTGGTTTTGTGTGCCACCCAAAGAATGACAACGTGTGGTGGAAGGCGCAACAATCGTTTGTGTTGGAGAGAAAGTAAACAGAACTTGGCTCTCAAAAGTTTGCATTAGAGTTTTTATAAAAATAGTGATTAAAAACTCAAATATTGAAATGGTGTTCAGAAGGTGCTGGGCAGGGCAGCGGTAAGCCCGGTTTAGTTATTGTTCTGCATTCAGATAAAGGTGTGCCCTCATTACTGCCTTTTCTGTTGGAGCCTATTCAACACTGGCTGGAGATAACCTTATTTTCAAAGGTTTATGGGCCTAACTAGTCAGAGTGCAGCCAAGTATTATGTAAAATGAGTTCAGAGTCTAAATGACAGACTATGCAAAGTTGTTTAAATTGTTATTGTGTTTAAACATTTAAGAACACATTCAGCCCCGAGCATTACAATGACCAGTCTTCATCCAGTGAAGCCGCTGTGAGAACAGCAAACTCATTCATTGTTAAAGTGATGTTAAAATGCCTAATTAGTGAAAACACATTACTATTGTTGTGGAAAACATCACTTACCAGCCAGGACAGTTGGGGACAACACACGACTTGACATCGTGTGAGTGCAGGTCATTAAGGTTTCCACACAATTTGCCTGAATACCAGAGAGGCACCTTGACTGTCGCCATAGTAACACCAATCGCTATCTCCAGCTCTGACTTTAACCCAGTGTCTCTCCTCAGGACCACAATGACCTCTGATTTATCCTGGTTCACGTCCAGATGACAGGGACAACCCCGAGGGCAAAGTGTGAGGAAGTGTCCGTCCACCTTTGGGATGCAACACTGAGTTAATGAGGTCAAACGCTGGGAATCCTCTAAATATGTTTCAGCTTTGTGCACTTAAACCTTCACTGTGCCTTCCTGTATGGCAATTGATGAACCATGCAGGAGAATTTGAAACACAGCGACAAGCCTGGAGGAGCTGCCGTCACAAGGTCCACGGTAGGAGATTAAGTTGAACCACTGGTCACAGAGGGACGTTAGACTGTAGGGTAACCGAGGCTAACCAAGTGGAAACATGGAGACTGCTCCTGAACTCACAAACTTCAGGTTTGTCGTAACAGCCCCAGGTAGCGCTCCCCAGGGCACATTGCTGCCCCGGGCTGCAGCGCACCTCGTCACAGATCGCCCCACCTAATGGGTGGCACCAGCATCTCTGGGTGCAGTCGTTTATGTACATCCATCTAACAAGAAGCGACAACAAAATCATGCAGCTGCTCTGAAATACTCCATGTGAACTAAGGATCGCCATTTTTTTTTCTTTTAGGGCCGATATTGATGCTGATTGCAAGTCACGGAGAAATAACTGATATTTGCACCCGATATACCTTAAACATAATGTCATTCATAACTAGGCTTCTTCATTATTAAGGACTCTAAATATGTTAAATAGAAATAGAGTAATTAAATTAGGATGCTCTCCTCTGTTTTTGTGTGATTGATTAGTTTGCCTATTGCAGCTATGCCCGCGGTTTTTGTAACCTTTCGCTCTTCTGTCACTGTTTTTGCCCACTAATCTTAAAGCATTATCAGTTAGTGTTCTCCAGACTCTGTTTCAGGGTAATCTGTGGCTGCTTTTGAATTTAGCCGCCAGCCGTTAGCGTAGCCTTTGCCACTGTGACAGGAGCTAAATTCTGAGTTTTTGGCAACGGCTTGTGTTTCAGCTTTTGCAGTCTCTGCTTGAGAAACATTTCTGAGACCATAGAGTGACTCCAGACAGAGAGGACCTGAAGTAGCATGTTTAATTTATCAATAGTCTGTCAATAAGAATACAGATACCGGTAATTGGGGAAAATGCCAAGTACAGGCCACGTTAATTGGCCAGGTGGATAATCAGTGAACCCAGATTTTCCCAAGAGAATGTGCGTTGCATTATTGTCTGTTCATCTTGTGATTACCTTGATGTATGTATCGTGAAGAGCACAGCCACATTGACTGTAAGGTACGCACTCGCCTCCATCCAACACATTTCCATTGCTGCACTGGCAGCCTTCTGCACAACTGGGTGCTGAAGAACCAGTCTGGAGCAGAGCAGGGCCTGAGTTGGAGCTGGAGTCAACACAATCTGTTGGGCTGCTGCGGTCCGGACACTGGAGAGCTGGTGGTAGAAAATGCAGCGACGACTTAGAGCGGATCATGCACTTGATTTAAACTGTGATCAAGTTGACTTCCTTACAGCAAACAGTGTCCTCTCTCCACGGTCCCACTGATGTTCCTTTGTCCTGGCAGGCTGCAGAATACGCTTCCACGGCTAACCATGTGGCCATGTGCCCTACCCCAGCACAAACCGCCCTCATGCACATGTGTATGTAAATATCCAGCTCCACGCCACTCTTCCAGCAATGATGGAATTGAATGCCACCGACCAACAGATTGTTCTGTTATGTGGAGAAAGATTGCACTCAACACACTCTCTCCCACAGGTGTCAGTCATAGACTGTATAAAAGATGGACGTAGCAACCGGCCCTGAAAAATGAAGCCAACACAGAAGTGTCAAAACCTGCAATATGCCTATGTCCGCTAGTCCTGGCTCCAAAAAGCCCTGGCTCCCATAGAAATGAATTGGAAAAGAAGTGATCACAGATCACGAAATACTGCATTCCTCCAGCTCAGGATTTTTAAAAAAAAATAGTTTTCATGGTCAAGTCCAGAGATCAGGTGGGCAATCTGAAAATAAATCAATACAGAATTTTAAAAAAATCTTCAAAATTTTGCAGGGCAAGGGGCGTGGCTGGCTTGATTGACAGTCGGCAGCGACCATACAGATGAAGCGAGCATAAATATGGGAGAGGGCCTGGCTCTCAATCCGTCTGACCAATCACTGCTCCTATGGCTCCGCCCCCCTCCGACGATTTTTGCCACTGGCTCCAAAAATCCAAGATGTCAACCAGGAAGTAACAAAACCCTGGCTTCATTTTCTCAGTGCAGAAACCAACGGGTGACGTCACGGTAGCTACGTCCATCTTTTATACAGTCTATGGTGTCGGTGCAGTGCTGTCCAGGAGATACGAACGCCCAGCTGTGCAGAAACTCTGCAAAGTCATTGGCAAGACGACCATTTCTGAGCTGCAGGTCATCGGATCTGTCCCCATTGAAGTTTCCACAGAGGCCTGAAGATGCAGCATCACACACCTGTGGCGCGATCAGCCTGAGGTATTGGGTCGAGGACAGGTCAATTCCAACCCCAGACTGTGTCCTGATTTTCAGTTTACTGCCAGCTTGGTATGCTTTAAGTTCTCCATTGTCAAAAGGTTCATTGTGTTCTTCTTCATTTGTCTGAAACCACAGAGGCGGTTAGACTAGGTTAGGTTAGAAAAAAAATCTTTGCAGCCATAAGTTCACATAGACTGGAGAACTTACTTTCATTCTCCAAAGAGTTTCAGGGTCAATGGACACTTCCAGTGAAAGCAAGTGAAATTCAAGTCTGCTGATTATCAGAAAGCCATTCTTGTCCTTTACAAAGCAAAGCAGCACAGTATAGTCTTGCATGGCTTTATAGGACGAGAGAGCAGACAGTACATAGGTACAAGCACCATGGTGAGGCAGAATAACACCATCAAAAATGATGTAGCCAAAGCCAGCAAACACCTGGCACACCCCATACAGCAAATCAGGGCTATCATTTCCCTAACAGCTCTCCAGCGGGGTGCAGGTCACTTCTCCTCTTATACAGTCACACTTTTGGCAGCTTTTCTCAGAGTAGAAGTGGCCAATGGGGTGATATTGGCCCTCATGCATGCAGCCGCAGTCAGAAAGCAGAACACACTGGCCGTCACTGAGGACGTAGCCGGGGTCACGCTGGCAGCCCTCCTCACAGCCACAGTCTGCCTGAGAAGATAGGTCAGTGCACACTGCAGGGCATTGAGGCCCACAGAGCTCATAGTGGCTATTCTCAGGGCATGACATACCTAAAGCAGGAGGGAAGATGAAGTTTTACTTTCTTGTGATGTATTTAAACACAACTTCCTGCTTTTAAAGAACGTAATACATCCAATACTCAACAATAAATCCACTTGTATCCAACATAATATTGTTGGTTCACACCCCGGGCACAGCCTGTTCTCACTGCTGCCCCAAGAGGTTCTGGTCCATCAAGGCATCCAGATTCATCAACACGTTCTACCCAAGTGCAATACGGGTACTGAATGCACACTAGTCTATAGTCTTTACTATTTATCACATATATTTATACTATACTATATTATACAATTATATCATAATTACATTTTAATTATTATTATACATGATACTGTATTTTGTATATATTTATTACTTATAATAATTATTTAGATTTCTCATACACCCACAGCGTTCCTACCCCAACAGTGCAATATATTTATTCTACCGTTTGGCTAACTGTACGTACTTCCTACTGGCTCCTTTTGTAAATACATGTACATAATCATGTTTGTCTTTTTATACTTTTACTTTTTATACTTCTGCACCACTGGAGTTGTCCTTTAATTTCGTTGTACCTTGTGTATGATGACACTAAAAGGCATTCTATTCTATTCTATTCTATTCTATTTATTAATACATAAGTCCATGCAGAGGTGCCCCGCTGTGTAAAAAAAAAAAAAAATTAGAAAAAAAAATATTCTTCACAGTGATAGCATATGAGGATCATTTCTAGTGCCACAAAGAACTATTCTTTAAGTAGCCCCCAAAAGTGCCTTAAAGAATCATCAAAAAATGGTTCAGCACATGGCACCTTAAATGGTGCTACTTTGGCAACAATAGGTTCTTTCAGGAACCATTTTCAGGATAGTTCTTTGTGGACACATCTGGTTTACTTTTAATGTCAGATTTGGTTATCATTTAAGTAATTGTTAGGTAAAAGTTAAATGTGAAAATTTGCTGCTTTTCTGGCTCTTTTCTGTTATAATACATTTAATATTTGAGAGTCTAGACAGACGAAACAAAACAATCACCCAGGTTGGGATACGGGACGTTGTGGTGAACATTTCGTATTGTTTTCTGGATTAAATAATTGATTGATAATGAAAATATTCATTAGTTGCAGCTCTAATTTTATGTAATTACCTGCACCAAAATACAAACAAAAACCCTTTGTTGCTTTAAATAACTATATAAAGTACATGTAGAACCATCCCCTAAATAAAAAGGTTCTTCAGTTGGTAATGGGGCTTTGAAGAATCATTTAAGAAGCAGCTTGTTTCTGAGAGTAGTGGAGCAGAGGATAGCTTGGGTGTGAGGTAATGACATCGGTTCTCTATACGTGTAAAAACTGGTTATTTATCCACTTTGGATATGTGTCAGTCTCATCCATATTTCTGTCATTCCAAATATTATTATTATTATTATTAAAAGATTACGGGCAATTGCTAGTGATTATGTGCATTTCCCCTCAAAGTTTGCATGACTGATGTCTTGCATTAAAACCTCCACAAGTGAACCGTTGGGTCCTTGCTAATTCTCCATCTGGATTCAGGGATAAAAAAAAAGGTGGTGAACAGATTGAACTATGTACTCACCACAGAAAGTGTCACTCCTCCACTGCCTGACAGGCAACTGAGCTGCTTGGCAGGCAGCAGCATAAGACGCGACAGAACTGCAAAATGCTGAGTAGTGTCCGCTGTATGAGCAGGTATCTGCTGCACAGCTGTGGAAGTAAGGCTGGGGACTTAACACTGAAGCACAGTCTGCAAATGGCCCTAACTCATTTAACAACACCTCGCAAAAATCGCTGCCTTCAAAAAGCTTTTGTGCCTCAATGGGACAACGCTTGGATCTGGTCGGACAGCGAGACCTGCAGCTCTCTGCCTGAGATCTCCACTCTAGAGTATTTTGGGCGAGCTCTCCAGTGGGCATCACTTGTGGGTCACTGTTGGCGTTTCCACAAAGACCAGAGACAGTGGAGCTATAATTGCTGGGCAGGACCACCAACAGAGAGCCAGTGTTGTAGACAACGAGCTGTAGCCCCGCATCAGTTTAAATGATGAGAGATGAAGGCGAGCTGTGGGCATTTACACGTCCTGATTGGTGAGAATACGGCAAGTGCTTATATGGTCCATCAACCTAAGACTAAGGACAAACAAAAACACATTAGAATTACATACAGAGGTTCATTTTTAAGACGGTGCCAATGAAGTACTCACCACAATCTTTCTTGGGTCGTCTTTTCCTACCACCACCTGCAAACCATAGACTGAGAGTGTTAAGGTGAGGCTATGAGAAAACCTAACTTGCATCAGACATCGTGATACTAAATGGCGTTACTCCAGTTAGGTTGGTTGCAACCAAAGAATACATGCAGCTGTCCCTGAAGTCAAACTCATGTCCGTCAAACGTTGTAAAACGCAGCCCAGTGACGACGGTGCAGTTCAGAGGTTTCTCAGGTTGGCATACTCTCCCCGTGATGCAGCTGCTTGCAGATCATTCCTCCGGGGCACCGGTCAGGTCTGCAGCTGACCTCTCCAGCAGCCGGTCCACAGACACAGAGCTGACCACAGTTGTCGGGAAGTTGAGTTGAGGTTGTGGTATTTAGATCTGGAGTCTCTGCAGCCACTATGATGTGGACGCCCACAACCCTCTGGACTCCTGAGGAAACCAGGGTTACCAAAGCAGCCCTGAACACAGACCTACACACACAAGAACGCTGAACGTTGGTGACACAGATGATTTAGAAAGCATTTAATGAAAAGCTACAGAAAGGGAAGAGCAAATACCTAATTACTAAATGTATACTCAACTTTTGATTTTAATATAAAAAGTGTTTACTCTCTTCTGTATTCGTGCTGGTTTGACTTTATTTGGTTTAAAACTAATTTCTTTGGTTTATTTCTGGATTATTGCTGTAATTTTGAGTCATTAGCAAGCTGTAATTTTTTTTGTGTTTCTCTGTTTTAATCTATTGATGTATATGTGAAGCGAGAAACCAACTTTGTACTTTTGAAAAGATTTAAAGAAAACAAACCTTTATGCAAATAGTGACATCGTGTTCACAGTTTGGCGGACAGGCTGAGCGACACGTCTTGTAGTGGCTGTTTTAATTGCATTGTATTGCACTCTACTAGATGACTACTCACCAAATGCCACTTTGCTGTTGTAGGCATCGCTGGCTTCGTCACAGACTACGGAATAGAAATTTATAGCCTGCTCAAGAGCCTTTGACGCTTCATGATGCATGCGGTTGGCAACACAAGTTTTGTAGAAGGAATCTGGATCCACACGACTGTGACAGCGGGCTATCGGACCGTTTTGATTCAACAGCTTTGCACACAGTTTAAAGTGATCAGACACAACCTCTGATGCAAAATCTGCAGGCAATCCCTCCTCATCTAGTTTTTTGCTTACAGCCAGTGCAGCAGTTCTGGTCCCCATCAAAGAGCCGGTAAGCCTGAGCGAGCTCCACACTTGTCTTAATCGGAGGGGAACCGGGAGCAGTTGCGGGATATTCATCTTGAGGATCGCCATTAAAATTGCCACACAGCCCATAAACCTTGCCCTTGTAGTGTGGATCCAGTGTGATCAGCACAGTGGAGTTCCAGTCGAAAGTCAGTTTTCAGCAGGACTTCGCCTTCTTTTTGGGAAACCTGGAGCTTACGCCGCATTAGATTAACAGGAATATAAGTCACTTTACCATTAACCTGAAAATAAAAGAGAGGAGTCATTAGGAAGTTAAACCTGAGCAGCTTCCTCATTCACAAAATGACTTCTACTTACAAGTGTGCTGCCCTTTTCACCACTGAGCTGGATGATGAACCCATAAGCTTTCACAGTCACCACCTGCGTGGAGGATTCAGCTCTGCCGCCACTGCAGTCATTTTTCTTGGACACGCTGAAAGCTGTCAGACCACATGCTGCCCCTCTGCTGGCTGCGAGCAGGTTCCCTCAACGTTATATTGGAAACCATCAAAGGTGTGGTAGCGCTGGCCTCCCCAGACCCAGCACAGACCCCGGTGGCTCTCACAAACAGGCTCACCGTCGCTCAGGTAGCATTTTTCTGTTTCACCGCATTTTCCTTCACAAGGATCTGTGGTTTGCTCTGCTAAGAGAATATTAATATTAACATCATAAAAAGTAATAAACGCACCAGCAACAAATCCGCTTCTGAAAAGGTTTCTTAAACTTAAATGCTCACCATCTTTACGACGGTCCATAATTCCATCGGTAACTATACAGCTGTGCAGTGGAGGACACGAGTAGATGAGGGGAGGCCCACAAGTGCAGTTAACTGTACAGTTCTGTAAAAGTTTGCTCTCAGAGGCCTGAAAATAAAGAAACATAAAAACAGACAATAAAAATTAACTGGAGAAGTTTACTGAAGATGAAAAATATTAATTTGAACAATATTCTTCCATACTATCTTGTAACCTCATGGCCTGATTGAAGTAAATGTATAGAACTAGTTGAATTAACTCTTTAATTACACAAAAATAATCCCACCTGACCCCCTCAGAATCAGCAGATGTTGTTTTTGTGCAATAACTTTAGCATGTTTTCTGAAGCCATGCACATTTTTGCCTTCACACTATGAATATTTTTAGAGTTATAAGCCCTCGAAATACACAACTTGCATTATTGGGGGGGTTAAAGTACATGAGATGGCCACATGGAATTGTAAGGGATGAAAAACATGTAGGAGCTGTTTTATAAACTGCAACCAATTCTATATTCACTTCAGGTGTCACTATCTAAAGACCAAATCTTACTGTTTCAGCCCATTTTTTTCTATAACCTTTTTCTCTATAGTTTCAAAAGCAAAACTTCACTAATGTTATTTTTGACAGAGTAATAGAAACAAGCATTGTTACCCTGGATTATAATTCAATCGGAGAAAACCTGGAAAAAGTGGATTTGGTTGGGTTAATAAGGGCCATGTTCAGGGCTGAAAAACAAATTTGAATTCTGTTGCTACCTGCAACCAATTCAATTTCACATCATCTCTAGTGTCACATCTAAAACCAAAATCTTGGCAAAGTTGGTTGTGGAGTTCCCCCACCATAACCAAATTGTAGCATCGATATTTATTTATTTATTTGTTTGTTTGTTCCTTTCATGAAGGTAGACAACATAATTTGTACGTAAATGCACTCTACATTTTCAAATCAACACCTCCATGATTGGAAAGGAGCAGCAAGAAGAAAAAAAATTGTGTATTTGCCTGCCCCCTATTTGAACAAATGAAATGAAAAAACAAAAAAAAGAAAGAAAAGATGGTCCCATATCACATACAGTTGATTTTCAGTAACCTACCCAATTACCACTTTGATTATAAATATATCATAGAGTGTATCATAGCTGCAAAATTGCACCAGTTTAAAGTCTATGGCACAGAGTAGCAGAAAGAAGCATCGGCACCCTGGATGTGTGATCTGTTTTCTAATAACTCCCTTGAGAAAACCTTTAAAAGTGCATTTTGGTAAAGGGGTCAGGTTAGCATGTGGGACAGGTGGCTGATTAAAGCAAGCTCATCTTCTAGCCATGATTCTTTCTGTGTCACAACAATTTTATATGATCAGTCGTATTAGAAAATTGCATTCACTCTGGAGTCAGGTGGGAGCTTATTTCAGGTTAATTCTATATGAAATGAGCTTATTCTCTGAGTAGAATGCACACAAAATAGTATTTCTGACCCTAAAGCTCCTCCCATTCTGCACGCAGCCACGTTGCCCTGCTGGTACGCAGGCACGGCCATCATAAAGGCGTCCCGTATCACACTGGCAGCCTTCCTCGCAGTCCCGGGGGCACCGCGCCGCCTCGCTAATCTCAGGACACAGCGAGGAGCGAGCGTTGGCACATTGGCTGCAGTGGCTGAATTGAGGACATTGATAAGCTGTAAAACAAACAAACATCAGAGTTAATCAGTGTAATAGTTTAGTGTTGTTTAAATGTCATGGAAAAAACAATAAACAGTGAATCAGGCTTACCGCAGCCTGCTGTGTTCATTCAGAGGTCAACCGCTCCTCCTGCCCACTTACACGCCGCCTCGTAGGCCGACAGCATGTCGCACAGGGCCTAGTGTTGTCCCTCTGCAGAGCAAAGAGCTTTCATGCACAATGAGTAGTATTTTTGCGGGCGCACTAAATGGTGGCAGGAGGAGAACGGCCCTCTGGGATGCGTGAGGACGGGTCAGGGGTGAAGCCGGGCGTGGGCGACTGACAAGTTTGACAGGTTCCGTCACATGTGTCTCTGCAGGACGAGTCAACATCAAACGGCTTCCACGACGGCCCAAATATGTCAGGATCGGAGGTCACGGTGCCGCTGGGCAGCTGCAGGTCATCTGAGGGGGTCATCGTTGTAGTTCCCACAGAGGCCGCAGGTTGTCTGATGGTAGATGTCTGAGATCTTGACCAGAATGGGATTTCGTAGGTCGGACATCGGCTCAGTTGACCGTGGGACCTTGATGCTTATCCATCCATTATTTTTCTCGTGTACAGTGATGTTGTTTTGGGAGAATGGCAGGTTCTCATAGACTCCATTTACCTGGAAGCAGAAGGTATGCTTAAAGAGGTGCACAAATTCACCGGTGTGAAGTCATTACACGAATTCCCACGTAAAGATCTTGACGTCTTAATATGCATTTTATTGACTTGCAGGTATATCTGCCTGCCCCGACTGTGGTTGCCTCTTGCTGCTATCAAAACCGGCTCCACATCCACTTTCTTTAGTCTGCACCAAGGTGTAGTTACATGAACCATAAAATTCAAAGTCCTTTCCGTCAAATGTAGAGTACTGGGATCCATCAGTGTTGCGCTGTGCCGCTCTGGGTTTTGGGTGGCAACCTTGAACACCCCCGATGATCTTACACTCCTCATCCTCACCACAGGAAACGTTACGACAAGCCACGTGTCCCCCGGCGTGACATAAGCAGCTTTGTTTGCACGAGGACACCTCCTGCCCTGCCTTCAGGTATTCACCGTGGTGAAAAGCAGCCACAGTTTTCTGGACTGACACACATGTTGCCACTGTGAACTAAACCTGATTCACAGAGGCAGTTCTCTCCCGGTGCTTAGAGGCAACTCGACTAGTGTTGTTCTGCCAGCCGAGGCACAGGCCAACAGAGGCGGAACTCGTGTTGTAGCTGGTACTGGAGGGACAGGACGGGTCTGCGGAGATACAGAGAGACACCAGTCACTTAGGGCAGGAGGACAGGAAAGTGTTGTAAAGGTTAGGGTTGACCGGTGATGCATTAGTACCATCTAGTGGCCCGATGGCACCTGAAAGGTTGTGGCCTCAATATTAATAGGACAGCATCTAATTTACCCTACAATTTTCAGCTTCCTTTAAATACACAAGGAAGCAAACTTTACAGTAAATACCTACAGGCGTATATCTGATGTGAATGCAAATTATCTCCGCTCTCTTTTCCTTGTGTTTTTGTCCCCCGATCAATATCAACAATCTAAACATGATGAAATGTTATGTGCTCGTAGAGGCATCTGCAATCTCTCCATATTTCATTTGCTGTGCAATGATGCCGAACCCCAAACAGCACCGTTACAATTGTAGGAGGATATTAATTTAATTCACTCGCACAACAGACAGAGCTGGGAGCACATTAACACTCACAGCAGAATCCAGGACTCCTCCAGGCATAAACTGGAGCCTTGCGGGAAAAGCAGACGGCAGTATAATCTGCCAGGGAATGACACAGCGCGGGCTGGAGACCTCCGTGGAGACACAGGTCACTGACGCAGCGCTTGTAAAAGCTGGAGGGGTCCACTTTGCCATGACAGTGTCTGAATGGTCCATTAACTTCTAGAATCTTCCTGCAAGCCTCTGGGTCAGAGAAGCGGGCCAGATCTGCAGATGAACACTCTGGACAACTTCCACCCAGACAGCCCTCCACACACGCCAAAGGATTCTGCCCACTTCTCCAAAGCTTTCCAAACAGCTCAGGACTGAGGTGCTGCTGTGTGCCGTTGAGGTCAATCTGCAGGGTCAGAGTTGAAGTTGCCGCACAAGCCGCAGGTAGAATTAGCATATTTTTTTTAGAAAGACTCACGATTCCATCTGTGCTGAGGCTAAATTCAAAGCCAGTGTCTGTGTAAATGTAAGTGTGCAGGTGCAATGAGAAAGCCAGTGCAGAAGGGCTGAAGTGACAGGGCATGTTCCTCTTGACACCGTTGACCTGTAGGGGGTGCCAAAATTGCATGTGAGAAGAGAGTTTGGTTTGTCCATGATGAGATTTTATTCCAATGCCAAAAACTGGTGATTCAACCAGATTCAAGCACTCACCTCTATGTTCTCAGTGTTTTCGCTGTTTAGCTTCACGATTACACCGCTCACATTGACCAGGACATGAAGTGCCGACTCAGCATCTGTCTGAACCCAAATGGCATCCAGGCCTTGGTTCTGTCCGCACACGCCCAGTAACTGATACTGACAGGTGCCACGGAAGTCATAATCGCATCGATCGAAGGTGATTACGTGTTGACTGGTGTACACGCACGTCTGTTTGAGGTCGTGCACGCAGCTTCTGACTCCACCTTCGAGGCCGCAGCATTCGTCGGAGCCGCAGGAGTCCGAGTGGCACCGAATCTGGTGGGTGTTGGGGTCAGTGTATGGTGCATCTCTCGTCAGCCCAGTAGGTCTGGTTGCTGCTGTAATGGTTGCCGTCGTGACTGCAGCCACACTGGGACAAGGGCACGCAGGTGTCGCCATCCAGGACGAACCCCGGGTCACACAGGCAGGTTTCCATACAGGGCAGGGGGGCAGGGGGTTGACCTGGATGGGTCCTCGCAGGTGGCAGGGCAGGCTGTGCCGCAGGACTCGTGGTGGCTGTTCGGTTTGCAGGACGTGGGTGATAAGCGAGAAGGAGAATGATGCACACATCAGCTTCTAAATATGCTGTCATCATGTACATATGTTGTAAGAGGAGAAGTTGTTGGACTGTTAAAGTATAATGAGTAGGATTTAAGGAAGGTGTCAGTGTAGTCGTGTGTGAAAGCATATTTGCTTGACGAAAAAAAAAAAAAAAAAAAGAGGAGAGAACACCTGTAATCACCGGATTGTGTCGAATTCTCACAGACGTTTTAAGTAAAGCAAATTCACTCACGGCAGAAGGTGCTGTTCCTCCACTTGCTGATCTGAATTGCAGCTTTCTGGCAGGCAGCAGCCTCCAACATGGAGCAGAGGGCCCTCTGAGTGTCATCACTAGAGCACAGGTCAAATATACTCAATGTCGAGGAGATTTTAGTGTAGTTCACAACCTCCTTGCACGGGTGGAAAGGACTTTGAGGTGACCACAAGTAGGTCTCATGTAGAGAGATCCATTTATTTGCCACATTTCTATCCTGTAGCTGTTGAGCAGAGCAGCGTGGGCATGTCTCCCCACAATCTGCTGCACACTGAGCCTCTCCTGCAGAAACTCTCCAGCTCCAGCCAAAGGCAGCAGCATTAACAGTCGCTCCCTGTGGGGTCCTGAAGTCGTCTTCTTTGATGCCATTATTATTCCCACACATCCCGTGGACTTGTGTTTTATTAGACAGGAGGATTGCGGCAATATGAGAGCAGTCGTATTTAACTCGGATGCCCAGATTAGTGTCCACAACAACAAACACGCCACTTTGATGAATCCTCACAAGTCCAAACTGTAGAGTCACAGGAAGCTGCATTTTCTTGTTATTTACCTGAGGAGAAAACACAAACATGATGTGGATGTGTTATTGTAGAATGTGTTTTTCTGGTGAAATTTTTATCCCTTGTATTTTGAGTTCATCTACATTGTGTCAAAGCAACAACAAAAGTGATGCACATTTATGGCCAATTTGAAGAAATTTTTCAGTTGACTGGTATCTTGCCTTACAATGTAAAAACAATATATTAAAAAAGGGAAAACTATAAAAATAAGAATGTAAATAAAGGAAAATACAATAATTTTTATGATTAAAATACATTTTCTAGGCTTACATTTTTTATTTTAAAGTTATTTTTTTGGGGCCTTTTTTTTTTTTTTTATTATATAAGACTGTCAAGTAAGAGAGACAGGAAAGTGGGAAGGACTTGCAGGAAAGGTCCATGAGTGGGACTCGAACCCATGGCTGCTGCATCGGGGACTACAGCCTCCTGTACTTGGGTCACCAGCTCAACCAGTTGAGGTATCACGGTGCCCTCTAGGCTTAGCTTTTATGTAAACTTTAAGAACGAATCACATTATTTGTTGTCACTAATTGTATCTAATTTACACAGATTTACAGTATTAAACTTGAATCTAACAGCTTTATCCATCATTAAAGACAGACGAAGCAAGATTTGTAAAATGATGATGAATTTGTAAAAGTATTTTCATAATACTTCTATCAAAGGGTTTAATTTTTCTTTTTTTTTGTTTTATGGTGATTCACATTTACATTGATTCTCGTTGTCATTTTACACTTTACATGTAAATTCACTGGATATTTTTGTAATTTTATTTATTTGATGTTGTTCAAAAATACTGGAAAAAAAATCTGTGACATAAAAAATGGAAGTTCCATAAAATTATAGATTTATTTATTTATGTTTTACCAGGGGCTGCAACGTGGCGCAGTTGGTTAGCACTGTTGCCTCGCAGCAAGAAGGTTGCCGGTTCGCGTCCCGGTGGGGCCACCGGAATCTTTCTATGTGGAGTTTGCATGTTCTCTCCGTGCAGCGTGGGTTCTCTCTGGGTTCTCCAGCTTCCTCCCACACAGTCCAAAAACATGTTGAGGTTAATTGGTGATTGTAAATTGTCCGTAGGTGTGAATGTGAGTGTGCTTGGTTGTCTGTCTCTAAGTGTAGCCCTGTGATAGACTGGTGACCTGTCCAGGGTGTCCCCTGCCTTCACCCTAAGTCAGCTGGGATAGACTCCAGCCCCCCGCGACCCTCGTGAGGATTAAGCGGTGTATAGATAATGGATGGATGTTTTACCAGTGTATAATAAAACCGAATAACAAACTGAAAGTAAAGCCAGAACTGTGCAAGTTCAAACTTACCCAAACAGAACCTTCTTCTGCTCTGTAGATATTGTCTTTAGCCACTTTCACATGAATAGCTTTGAAAGAGGAAGCCTGGTTGAAGGTTCTGTCTTTCTGTACGCCGACCCACAATGCATTGTTCTCACTGGCATCATTGGTTTTTTTTTGGATCAGAGTGTAAGTGCAGTTTCCTTGAAACTCAAACACTTGTCCATCAAAAGTGTCGTAATGGGCGCCTCCCAGCACCCAACACTGAGACTGGCTCTGGACACAAGTCTCTCCATTCTCACAAGTTGTAATATTATTATCTGAAAGAATAAGGGGAACAAGTATTAAATCATAGGCACTTTAGGTAAAGCAGAACTTGTTGCACTGCTGTAAATAAAGCAAATGGATTGGGTAAAGTTCATAAATTAGCAGAGTAGTTGGTTTAAGAGAAAATATTCTATTTTCAAGCAGAGAGAGAGAGAGAGAGAGAGAGAGAGAGAAAAGCCTAATTAGTTGGATGGCAATAAATGTAAATACACATTCAATCTTTGGTGGCACATCACATTAAAATTTAATGTTAGAGGCAAAGTAAAATGATAAAAAAAAAGGGGCCATTATTACTTATGTTTGATAAGCGGTACAATAACGCTGAAGCCTGAAGGCAGACGAGACAATTTAAGCACATAATGGACTACTCAAAAAGGTCAGGGGTCAACCTCATTGTAGGTAAAATGACAAGACACAGACAAAACAAAAAAACATCTTGTGGTTTGTACAACATTGCAAAACAGCCCTGACTGAAAAACAAAGTGACAAAATTTGATGAAATAAAACGGGTGGTGCATCTGAGCGAATGACAGTTAGTCTATGAGTAAATGTCACCCAACCCAGCAGAACCAGCTATGCCTACCTTCCCTTGAACAGCCCCAGGTGTTGTTAAGGGTGCAGCTCTCTCCCTCGGGGCAAGAAGCTGGCTCACAGCACATGGTGGCGGTGGCAGTGCAAGCTACAGCGCTCGGAGCATCCCTCAGCCCACGATATCGCCCCAATCTACAGACAACAGTGAGTCACTGTGTGCATTACACAACTGTTCTCTAAACAGGCCAGCAAACAAACAACTCAGGATAACACAAAGGCTCAGGATTTTGCAATTAGTCATGTGTCACATGTGCAGGTGAGGCATATGTACGTTTGGCCGGGATTTTAATGAGTCATTTTTAACTGTGTTTTTAAAGGTAACAACAAAGACATGTCACTGTGCCACCAACTGTGCTCCTCACTGAGCCAGCAGTGCAGGTGGAAAACACGTCGTCAGTGAACCAGCAGGTTTATCACAGGTTAAACAATCAGCAAGTTTGTGGCCACATTAGCTGAAAAACACCAAATCTATACAATTTTGTAGAGCCAGAAGCTGTTAAAACTGAAAGAATCATGAAAGCTTTCCAACAGTCTATGACCAAATCATGAGTTACACACAGCTTCCATTAGAGTGTTAATAAAATCTAGTCTTCAAATCTTGATATTTCTTCAAAATTACTGTTTTAGATGCCTTATGTAAATATTTGCCAAAAATAAGCCATCCATAAACCAAATTCTGCCCTCCTCAACACAACTGTGAAGCCATCAAGGACTCAGCTGTGACCAATATGACAAAAAATTCTGGGACTTTTTAACTGAAGTGGACTGAACTGCATGTTGTGTTTACACAGAGCAGATGGGGGAAAAGAATTAAAAATCAAAAATACAAGTTGTATAATATATGTAGAGCCACTATTTTTTCCACCCCGAAGTACCGACAAACACCTGCAGGCACAACATGTTGTATATGTTGATTCATTTTTGTTTCCTCCCCAAATTTTGTAAAAATAGAAAACAAATTCAACTTATTTCTGCATAATTTAGAGCATTGCAACTACACTACACTGCACAGCAGACATCCTCTACTTCTAGTCTTGGTTGTGCTGTTTCCATAGAGCTGCAGGACTGCATATCTCAGTGAAAAATGAGCCCACGTTGAGTAAAAATGTAACTAGAGAAGAAAAAAATAAATGCTTAAGGTTCAGAGGATTAAACTGCTATAAAGTTAATAATGTGTGGCTACTCACCTCATAGTAGTGGCCACGGTAGAAGCAACCACATTGACTCAGATTTGGTGCAACCATTTCCACTCTGCATGTATCCAGAGTTGCACTGACACCCTTCATAACAGGGCCAGGGGCAGGGGATATCGGATAAAATACCACAGGACTCAGGGCATGCATCAACACATATATTGTAGTGAGAGTTTTCAGGGCATGAAAGCGCTGTGGGAGGGGGGGGAGAGAGAGAGAGAGAGAGAGAAAACTGAGTTTATATACTGAACAGAGTTGAACTAGCCTTACATCACTCTGGCAACTTCACTGTATAGAGCTTGCCAGAGTTTGAGCAAGTACAACAGCAGCATGTGTGCAGACCTGTTTGATTTATATGCACTGGCACACCATGACAAACTAATGAAACAACACATGTACATGTAAGAGACTCAGGATTAATTATACTCACAGCACTTCTCACCCCTCCATGGTTTGACCTTAGCACCTGCCTCCTGGCATGCAAACGTGTACTCTCTCATCCTGCTGCAAAACAATTCTTCACTCCCATCAGACATACACAAGTCATTCACACCGTTCTGAAAGAAGGGCTGCGGCTCTACGACGGAGCGACAGCCGCTGAATGCTCGTGCCGCAGCAAGCAACGTGCCACCAGAGGTTATCAGATGCAAATGCGGCTGCCATGGTAGAGTTGCACAGTGAACATTCCTCAGAGCAGTTCATTCCAGGAGGTGAAAGTGACCAGGAAGATGCAAACAGGGAAGCATCACTTGCAAAACTACCATCCTTTTTGGTCATGAGTTGCAACAGCTCTGACATTTCCGCACAAGCCGCACATTTTTTTTTTTTTATGGAAGGCAGGAGTTATGATTAGTATCAGATTATGCCCGCCGTACGTGACAATGACCCCATTGTCTACAACAACACGAGTCAGCATGCTGGAATGCAGGACTGCCACATGAGCCAGTTGGACAGGAAGACCCCTCAGAACACCATCAACCTGGAAAATGTTAATTTTGATGGTTATAGTTTAAGTACACTAAACAGTTTGTTTGTAAATGTGCAGCTACTTACCTTTACTTTTCCCAAATGTTTCTAACGACATATTCACTCCATGGACCCTGAGGTGCAACTGACCTCGCTGGATGATAACAACGGGGTGAGACTCTTCCTCATCACAAACCTGTGATAGAACATAACGGCAGCTTCCCACATTAAAGTCAAAGCTGTGCCCATCATAACTCCTGAAGTGTCTGCCACCCATGACTGTGCATTTAACAGGCTGTAATGTGTGGCGTGCCCTCTGGCCGTCTTGGATGGCACATTTTTGTTCCGTTTGGACACGTGAAGTTAATGCATTGCACTGTGTTGTGGCCCACGCAGACACAATGCTGCTGACAGCTCTCATCGGGGTAGAAGCTCTCGTGGATTTCGTGGTAAACACCACACTGAGAGTTCGGTACGCATTTGCCGCCGCTGTGGAAAAACCCAGGTTTGCAGAAACAGCCTTCTTTGCATTTTAGTGCTCGAGGACTTGGGTCTTCTGCACAGTCAGGTGGTATTCACTGTTAGGTGGACAAGAGAGATCTAGGAAGGAAAGAGGAGATAATTATTTAAAACATTGCAATTCTGTACAAATCCTTTAAAAAAATAAATAAATTAACACTTACTACAAAAGCTGGAACTCCTCCATTCATCCACTATGGCTCCCATTTCTTGACAAACAGCAACATAGTTAGACAGACTCTGACACGAGGTAGCCTGGTTGCCATAACAGAGATCATGAACACAGTTATCATAGAAATCTTGTACATCAACTATTTTGTGGCGGCTCTGGAATGCTTCATTTGTATCCAGTAACCGTCCACAAAAATCTTTCCCCTGATAAAGAGCCATATCTTGTGAACTGCAACGTGACATGTTGATAGGTGCATCCACACATTCCTGTTCACTGCTGGTTCTCCAGTAGCTAATGGCCTGATCGATATCAGATCCATCCTCGGGCATCAGATCATCCTGTGGATCGGTGTTAAAGTTTCCACACAGGCCACAGAGAGTACCAGAGTAGGAATGTGAACGGTGGGTACATGAGAGCTGTACGTCACAATAACTCCAAAGTCAGCCTCTGTAGTCTTTGACTGTCCGACCATGTACGGCTTGACTCGACTCAAAATAAACGGAAAACACAGCAGCAGACCATTTACCTGAAAGAAACAGACACTGCAGATAAAACAGTATGTCTAAATGTATTGAAGCAAATAAATGAACCTACCTTCACTTTATTACTCCAATCATGTGACAGCTCAGTGGAAAAACCAGAGACGATCATTTTGACATAGCGAAAGGAAGCATTGGCTCCGTCCTTCATCTGGTTCTGGATCTCCTCATTAAAGTCTTCCGAGCCTCCCCAGGAAGGACAATGAGAAGTCAGCAGGGATGTACAGTTGACATCAAAGTTACGCCCATCAAAGGTGGTATAGTGAGTATTTCCTTTGGCGACGCACATCCCAGGAGCGTCCACGTGACAACCCAGGACTCCATTCAGAACCTTGCACACGCCGCCTTCCAGGCAAGGAGACTGAGCACACAGAACCTTTTTGGACTTAGGCTGGCAGACGCATTTTTCCTGGCACTGTTCGCCAATCCAGAAGTTCTCTTTGGGGAGATAGTAGGAACCTTGGTGAACACGACCACACTCGCTCTGTGGTACACAGTTTCCACCACTCAGCAGATATCCCCTGTTGCACTGACAGGACTCCACACATGGCAGCTCGCAGTTATGATGGGCCTCTGGGTTACTGCAGGTAGCTGGGCGGGCAGAACCACAAATTTCATAGTGGCTGTTCAGCGGACATGTCATACCTGGTAAAAAAAAAAAACAACCCACACACACACACTTTTAGTATTTTCTTTTTCAGAGAACACTATTATTTCCGAGAAGTATTTTAAAACTTACTGCACTTGGAGATTGTTCTCCAGTTTTGGATTCTGGCCCCAAGCTTCTGGCAAATGTTGACATAAGCTGTCAAGACCTTGCACATAGAAGAGGCTGCTCCGTTCAGACACAAGCTGTCAATACAACTACGAACAAATGGCTCAGGATCAACGTATGGGTGGCAATTTGCAAAAGGTCCACCTCTCCACCGCAGTCGAGTGCAGCCAATCTCAATGGGGTTGCCTTTAGCTCCAGGAAAAGTCTTGGTTTGGCTTCGGCTGCATGACGCGTCAACACCGCAGTCTTCAACACAGGAGCCGGTATCACCCTTCAGCACCCATGGGAGGGTAAAATCCACAGCCTTGGTCTTATCAGTGCTATCAGAAGAAGTTATACCCCCAGGGGAGCTGTTATTTGCATTTCCACACAAACCGCACAAGGTCCCATACAACACTGGGCCAACTTCAACCTGAAGAAGGTGCTTCCAGTCATACTGCAGAGAGATTCCAACATTGGTGTCTCATATGACACCGGAGCCACTCGGATATAAGTTGAGGTCCCCATTCCTCAAGGTGAGGGGCAGGTTCCTCCTCAGCCCGTCAATCTGAGTTTAAAGAAGAGAATAAACCATGTAAACAGCTACAAATAGTGAAGATTTCCTTTATATAAGTTATTATTACTTACCCTAACATGATTTTTGTCATCTCTAGCGATGGCAATATGAAAGCCCAGGATGCTAATGTGCACTGTGTGGATGGTGGAGACAGCAGCACTGTTCAAATATGCTCTGGCTATATTAATCTGAAGTGGAACAGAACTGTTTAAGCCAGGACAGGTAGTCTGAACTAAAGTGTAGTTACAGTTTCCCCCGTAGGACAAAATCCCTTCCATTAAATGTGCGAAAAAAAGAGTCGCCCCATGCAGAGCGCACTTTAGCTCTCAAAGAACAGAGTGGTTTTCTACTTTCGAGAGAGCACTTCCGTTTGTGACCACAGTGTAGCTCTTCACAAGAAGCTGCAGCGAAAAGAAAAAAAAAAGTTTACAAGAAATGCCATCAATTACGAAACATGTAATGTACAGTCCCTCAAAAAGCTGCAATACATACTTTTCTCACACGCTGCTGGATAAAGTTGTGTGTTCATGCTGCTCAGGTCCTTAATCAGGGTGTGTGTGTGAAGAGAACCGGGCTCTGAATTATCAGGCAGATTAGTAAAGGTGGGCTCCTGGGACAATTTAACATCAGACTTTAAATCGTCTGTGTTAATACTCTTATCTTCCCACTGACTCATATCACTTGAATCCAACATAAGCACAGGCTGACAGATATCATCTACAGAAGGCAGCACTGTGAGAGTTGAAGGACGCTGTCCGTCGTACTGTCTGATGTAAACAAGCTGAAGAGGGCTGTCATTAGTGATGTGGATGCTATCTGAAGATGTAACTGGGATGACCTTCATAACACTCCCCAACAACAGACACAATCCTTCTCCAAGTGTCTGTGATGACGTCCAAATCAGAGCTGACGCAAGCCATCGCCAGCAGGAAACTGGAACCCATTCCTGTGTCCGTCAGTGGAGGGATAACGTAATCAAAACCCCAGCGAATGACTGGGTTTTAATTCAGCAAAGCCATACAAGCAACCCCCAGGTGAATGTGTGGAGCAGGTGAAGCCAACAACAACACCGACAGCTTCTTGGGAGTTTAGCTCTGAGCCGGAGAAGCTGGTGTTGCTCTGGAGGTAAACACTCTGCAGAACCCCCTAAATATAGCTTAAGGACACTACCCCTGGGGTACACGCTGCCTTTAAAGAGCACTTCCCCCGAGAGGAAGATATCCACTGATGTGCCGCGGTCGGAGCTGGTGATCACCATCTGGCTGACAGCAGTCTGGTCAGGGAACTGAGGGGTAATGGGGTAGTAGCTTGTCCCCCAGGACGACACATCATTAAGGAGGCTGTGGTCGCAGCTGGTCCGGGTACAGAATGAAGCAAGGACTTGTTGGCCGGCCGCACAGACGTCACACTGAGGACGTGGGAAGAGTAATCGCTGGTGATTCCCGCTGACGACGGCAGGAGGATTGTCTTCGACTGGTTAGCGGAGATGAAGATGTGCTGCTTGAAGCTACTTTCCAGAACCTCCACAGTAACTGCAGTCCAAACATCGGCAGCTGTGATCGCTACTTGATGACTAACATTTACTGTAGGGCCATTATAGGGAGGAAACATCATCAGAAACCTCCTACCAGGACTGGCCACAGACAGGCCTGCAAGGGAGAATATAAAATTGAGTTACGCTTTTTATTCAATATAAAACATTTGAATATGCTCCAGCATCACAACTGCAGGAAATGTGCATACAGAGTGAGCAGTAACATGATTAACAAACAAAGATGAACTACCCTGACAGCAGCAGATGATTTTATAACTGCAAAACAACACACTGGCACTAAAGTGATTACAGTACAGCTATTCACTGAGTGAGTTTCACAATATGCACAGCAAGTGTACTTGCAGAACAGATAAAAAAAAACCGGGTGGTGTCATATTTCAACACGCTCAGCAGCCAATGACGAACGGCGTCTAGTTCCTGAGTACACCTGTATTAATGTGCACACAC